TGATGGTGTCGGAGCCCTGGCCAAGGCTGCCCAGGGAGGCTGTGGAGTCTCCTTCTCTGGAGATATTCCAGCCCCCCTGGCCGCGGTGCTGTGGCCCCTGCTCTGGGTGACCCTGCTTGGGCAGGGGGTTGGGCTGGGTGACCCCAGAGGTCCCTGCCAACCCCAACCATGCTGGGATCCTGTGTTCCCAGCTGGGATGACCTGAGGATTTAAGCTCGGTGTGAGCCGCACTGGGAGATGGGTGTAAAAATCCTCCTAAAACTGGGAAAACCCTCACTCCAGAGCCTGCCTTTGCTCTCTCTCCTGCTGTAGCACCCCTTCGGGACCCCGTGCTGGTCACGGCACTGCCTGGGTGCCTGTTCGGGCATCCCACCGTGGTCCTTGGCCGTTGGGTGCCGCGGGGAGAGCTCTGCTCCCTGGGAACCCTCCTTGGGTGCCGGGCTGTTCGTTGCGGCTGCAGCTGTCGGCGATACGAGCTCCCCTCTCACCGCTGTCACCTTGGTCGCAGGCGAGCTGTCAGGCGGCAAGCCATCCGGCACCCCACCAAGATAGACAAGGACAAGGGTCCCACCAAAGCCACCACCACCAAGCTGGTGTACCTCATCTTCGACACCTTCTTCTCGGAGCAGATCGAGAAGGACGAGAAGGAGGACGACAAGGAGAACGCCATGAAGCGCCGGCGCTGCGGCGTCTGCGAGGTAACGGGGGGGGTTGCTGGCGCGGAGCTGATGCGACCCGATCCCTGTCCTGGGATCCCAGGTCATCCCTGGGATGACCCCTTCTGGGATTGCTCCCTGGGGGCAAGGGAGTGATTTCCCAAGGCCACCAAGCTCCTCTCGGTCCCTGTCCCTCCTGCCTGGGGCATCTCCGCTGCATCTGCCTGCGCTCAGCTTGGTCCCCTCTCCCTGCTCCAGGTCTGCCAGCAGCCCGAGTGCGGGAAGTGCAAGGCTTGCCAGAACATGGTGAAGTTTGGGGGCAGTGGACGGAGCAAGCAGGCTTGTTTGCAGAGGAGGTGCGTCCTTTGCCAGCAGCGATGCCTCCTGCCAAAGCCCTCCCCGCCTCCCCAGAGAGGGGCCGCGGTCCCCCTGCGCTGTGGCCCGCTGCAGTGACGGTCCCCGTGTCCCCAGGTGTCCCAACTTGGCCGTCCGGGAAGCTGATGAGGACGAGGAGGTGGATGACAACATCCCCGAGATGCCGTCGCCCAAGAAGATGCTGCAGGGCAGGAAGAAGAAGCAGAACAAGAGTCGGATCTCCTGGGTGGGGGAGCCCATCAAGGTGAGGCTGGGTGAGACCCCCCCCCCCCGGTCCTATCCTGCTGCCGGGGCTGGGCTGGGTGCTGGGGCTGCGTCGGTGGGGATTTAACGGCGCTCTCCGCCTCTCCTGCAGAGCGATGGGAAGAAGGACTACTACCAGCGGGTCTGCATCGACTCGGAGACTCTGGAGGTGGGAGACTGCGTCTCCGTCAGCCCCGACGACCCCACCAAGCCCCTCTACCTCGCCAGGTCGGTGCCGTGGTGCCGAAGGGGACGCGTCTCTGCTCCTGCTGGGGTGGGCGTGCGTGGCGATAGCTGCCGTTCCCAATTAGAGAACCTTAATTGCTTGGCAAGGCCGCTGTTTGAGGACTCTCCAGCTGTGGCAAGGCTCGGAGCCCTTCCCTGGTGCCCCGTAACCCTGGCTTCTTCCCCCGCAGGGTGACAGCCATGTGGGAGGACAGCAGTGGGCAGATGTTCCACGCGCACTGGTTCTGCCCCGGCTCGGACACCGTCCTGGGGGCCACCTCTGACCCCCTGGAACTCTTCTTGGTGGACGAATGCGAGGACATGCAGCTCTCCTACATCCACGGCAAAGTCAAAGTGATCTACAAGGCGCCCTCGGAGAACTGGTCGATGGAGGTGGGTGACAGCCAACGTGGCTGCGCGGGGCCGGGCGCGGGGCAGGCAGCGGCACCGACCCCTGGGAACACCTCTCTCCTAGCAGGGCGGGCTGGACATGGAGATCAAGATGGTGGAAGACGACGGGAGGACTTACTTCTACCAGATGTGGTACGACCAGGAGTACGCTCGGTTCGAATCCCCCCCGAAAACTCAGCCCACGGAAGACAACAAATACAAGTGAGCGCTCACAGGGCAGCGGCTCTCGGGATCTGCTCTGCCCGAAACGGGCAGCAGGAGCCTCTCGGCTCGCTTTTTTCCCTGCTCTGCTGTCCCCCCGCCCGCAGGTTCTGCATGAGCTGCACGCGCCTGGACGAGGTGAGGCACAAGGAGATCCCCAAAGTGGCTGAGCCTCTGGAGGAAGGCGACGGGAAGATGTTCTACGCCATGGCCACCAAGAACGGGGTGCAGTACAGGGTGGGGGATGGCGTCTACCTCCTGCCGGAAGCCTTTTCCTTCAGGTTGGTGCTAGCGGGGGGCTGGCAGCACTTCTCGGGATGGTCTTCACTCCAGCTTTTGGTGGCAGAGGATGTAGTCTCCGGGTGGTGAATCCCACCTGAAAACGAAGCACCTGTACCCCCCAATTTCTAAAAGCTTGGCTTAGAAATAAAGGTGCCTCTAAGCCCAATTTCACCCCTCGTCGTTAAACGGAGCAGCTTTGATCGGGCAACCCCGATAGCTGAGGAATCGGAATCCTTCGGCGCGTGGCTTTCCCTGCCAAAGAGCAAGCCAGGGTGGACGGAACGAGAGCCCGTGATGGCGGGGAGGAGAAGTGGCAGACCTCTTCGGGCAGAGGGCTGGGGCAGGTCTGCAGCCTCTGGCTGCGTGGTTCTGAGGGGGGGTTTTTTGGGGGGGGAAAAGGGTACCCCAACCTCCTTCCCTCCCCTTCTCCCCAGTATGAAACCCGCCAGCCCAGCCAAGCGCCCCAAAAAGGAGGCAGTGGATGAGGAGCTGCACCCGGAGCACTACCGCAAGTACTCGGAGTACATCAAGGGCAGCAACCTGGATGCCCCCGACCCTTACCGCGTGGGCCGCATCAAAGAGATCTTCTGCAACATCCGCAGCAACGGCAAACCCAACGAGGCCGACATCAAGCTGCACATCTGGAAGTTTTACAGGTGAAGGGCGCTGCCAGGGTTTCGCAGAGCTCCCCTGAGGGCTGGCCTGAGGTCCCCGGCGTCGGGAGAAGCTCTGCGCCGTCAGGTCAAGGTCGCACCGGAGCCGGGTGGCTCGAGCTGAGCCGGTGCTGAGCTGCACCAGCAGTGCTGTCCCACAGCGTGGGTGTTTACCTGAATCCCAGCATGGCAGGGGCTGGAAGGGACCTCTGGGGTCACCCAGCCCAACCCCCTGCCCAAGCAGGGTCACCCAGAGCAGGGGGCAC